TTATTTATGTAGCGGTGATTTGTTTTGTCAAAATGGCATCTTGATTTCATCGCGTATGAAAATAGTCAACTTCAACGACAAACATAACATTGCCGAGTGTCATGAAATATTTACGCCACCTCCTATGGATATAACTTCTTACAAATGTTCAAGGTATTCGCGACACTTTAGTCTATATAATCTTGAATCAACGTTTCGATGAAACGCAAAAAAAATGAGAAGTCCACCATTAGTTAGGTATGGTACAAATCCTCAGATGAAGCACCAGTACCGGATATATGCTCTTAAACTCAGTCTGGCGTTACATTGAGAACCATAATTCGGTCGATAACAATATCAATCTGAGAGTGGTAAGTTTGTTGAACGACTTCGAAGAAAATGATTTTCGTGCTGCATCATTACAGGGAGGTTATGCAACTTATCAGGGGACTGATAAGTTCTTAGAATAAGATCGAATGTTTTGTGAATTATCATATAACACTTTTGTAATAATAGGGTTCCATATGAAGACGCCCAGAAGATTATTTATTGAATGTTAACCAGAATTTTAAGGTTGCAAACTTTGATGCTTAATGATCTAATTAGTCTAATTATGATTATCTGAAAATTTTTAATTATACAGTAATTAATATATATATAATATTAATTTTTAAGATTATAAAATGAATATTATGATTATAAAATAGAATGTCATATTATTTTAACTATAAAATTTAAATATGTATTATATAATGAATATATTTAAAATCAAGTTTATTACATTTATTTTATAAAGAATGTGTTTATAATAATTAGTTATTACAGAAAAAAATTATACTGATATAAATTTTTTTGGTTGTAGAATTTATATCTGATAAGTTATAAAAAGATAAATATTTTTATTAATTGATTGAATTTTTTTTTTAAAAAAAAATTTATATAAAATTTTTTTATTATAAGATTTATTTTAAAAAAGGTAAATATTTTTTTTATTAATAATTGATTTTAAAAAGAAGATTAATTTTTATAAGATATATCTTTAGAAGGTTTAAAGTTAAAAAATCTGATAAGCTATAAAAAGATAAAATTAATATATAATTGTTATTGATTTCTTAAAAAAAAAAAATTATAATATTTATTTCTTTATAAAATTTATCTTTAAATGATTCAAAACTTGAAATTTGATAAAATTACAAAAGATAAATATTTTTAGATTATTTATTTTAAAAAAATTTTTAATGAACTTTTTCAATTATAAAAATTATTTAAAATTGAAAAATTTAATTTAAAAAATAAAATTCTTTTATTATAAGATTTACTTTTAAAAAAATCTAAAGTTAAAAAATTTAATAAACTATAAAAAATATCATAATTTAATTAATTATTTTTTATATTTAAATAAAAATTAATATAATTTCTTTATAAAGATTTTCTTTATAATATCATTTATATTTGTCTTATCAATACTATTACTTTAGCATAATAGAATTTATTTAATATTAAAATCAAATCATAGAATTGTCAATTATAAAAGATTATCAAATGTTATATAAGTGCTTTTTATAATAAAAAAAAAGAAAAAATACCAAAAAAAATTTTTTTATTTTATAAGTTAAATATTATTTTTTTAGTAAAAAAATTTAGATTTCAAAATAGTAGTTTTTTTTTTATTATTACAAAACACCTATATTGTTTTTAAATTACTCAATACTGAATTTTATGAAAATTTTATATATTATAAATATAAATATCAAGCTATATATATATAAGTTTTTATTAAATTAAATCATAAGTTATTATATAATATAAATAATAATGTATTATATAAATAATATGTTATAATAACTGTAATTAAATACTAGTTGAAATAATTCAAATTGGCTAGAAATCAAAGTATCTCCATTATTTTTTTATAATTTTGTTTTAAAGTCTATAAGAGTTGACTATATATATAAAAATTCAGATTCTATTCTAATCAAGTATTCATTATTTTCATTTATTTGGTAAAACTTTTAGTTGATTAAAATGTATACTATAAAAATATACCAGTTATTCTAGAAAAGCAAGAGTTTTGAAGAAGTACATTATTACTTTTCATACTAATATAATGATCATTAATCTATACTAATATATACTTCCCTGAAGAAAATATCTGGGCACTTAAAAAAAAAATTTATTTTTATTAAAATATTTTCATATTTAATAACTTGTAGGCCACCCATTCCTACTAATACACTCTTTTATTCTATTTGGCATACTTTTTATTAATTATTTATAAAATGTACTAGGAATTTTTGCCCATTCTTCTTGTAAAGCAATTTTCAATTCTAATGCATTTTTAGGACGATGTGATCGTTTTCTAACTTGTCTATCAAGCTTGTCTCATAAGTATTCGATTGGGTTCAAATTTGGAGATTGAGATGGCCAATTGGATAATATTTTAAGTCTTTTTTTATGAACCTATGCTTTTACATTCTTAGCTGTATGGATGGGAGCATTGTCATCTTAAAAAAAATAATTTTCACCACGAAAATTTGATTTTATCCAAGGTAATAAATTTTTTTCTAATATTTCAATATATCCAAATCTATTTAATATTCCTTCAACTTTAACTAACGGTTCTAAACCTTTATTTGAAAAGCAACCTCACATCATTACTTCACCACCTCCATATTTTACTGTAGATGATAAATTCTCAATATTAAAACATTTATCAGAAGCACGCTAAATACAACAAAGACCATCACTTTTAAAGATTTCAAAATGAGATTCATCACTCCAAATTATTTCTTCCCATTTAGAAATACCCCAATGTCTTCTTTTCAAGCACTAATTTAATCGGTTAATACATTATGCCTCAGTTATAAAAGGTTTTTTTGCTGCAATACAAGAAGAAAGTCCAATTTGATATAATTCTTTAACTAACATTCTAGTTGATACTTGAACATTAGTAATTTCTTCAAATTTTTTTTGAAGTTGTCTAGTACTGTTATGATTGTTTTCTTTAGTTATTGCTTTTAAAATATATTTATTTTCATTGTTTATTTTTCGTGACCGTCCTAGACGAGATGCACTTTTTGTAGTTCTTTTATTATTGTAACAAAGAATAGTATTGGCAACTGTTGATTTAGGAATATTAATTATACTACTAATATTTCTTTGACTGTAACCGCCTTTATGAAGACCAATAATTTGATCACGTTCAGATTCAGTTAATTCTTTGGTTTTTGCCATGTTAAAAAAATTTTTAATTTAATTATAATAAGAATGGTAAAAATGATCGGCAAAGCAATATTGTTAAAGAATCAAATTCATTTTTTTTATAAACGCGTTATATAAATTAATTCAAAACAATAATAAAATGTAACCAATAGATTTACAGGAACATGTACTTTATAATTATATAAAAATTTATTTAAAAACATAATATAATTAAGCTAAAGTTCGCAAAAAGCCGTGCTCAGATACTTTCTTCAGGGGAGTGTATATAATTAAAAAAAGTTGATAAATCTTGTTAGGTTATATTAAAAAGAAAATAATTAATTTAACTCAAATTATTATTTTAATATTAATTGCAAGACATCAAGATCTATTGATTCAATTTAGATAACAAAGTCAAGTAATAATAATAACTGTATATATTATAAAAGGGTTTAATTAAGTCAAGTAATTCATATACTACAAAAGCAATTTATCAAAGGTCTTCAAAATATCATTAACTTTGATGCATTTTCTTTTTCAATATATATTCTTTTATTTTTAGCAGATAGATTAGCAATCACAAATATAAAGTTATATTGCATTTTCTGAATTTAAGTAATAATAAGTATTATTGATTAAGGAAGTAAAAATAGATAAAGAATTTTCTTAATTTAGAATTATATAAAGCTTCTGAAATTCTAAAAAGTTAATAAACAGCTTATTAATATAATTATGTTTATCTATGATAGATTTTTTAATAATATATACTAGCATTATTTAATATATTAGAGATTGAAAGAAACTTCTTTTATGTCTTTGTTATATAATTGATCAGGTTTATTTTCATTATTTTTAAATTAGTTAACCTAAAAAATTTGTTTGTTTTTATCTTTATTTACTGTAGAAGTTGAAAGGTTGACTTGTTATTATTTATGTTACTTTTTATATATATAGAATCATTAATGCTAGAGTCATATGATATAAGTCAGTAATAACAAATGACCCAAATAATCTAAATGACTAGTCATATGTCATTTGGCTTATTTTAATATTAAATGACAAATGACCAAGTCATTTAAAAATTATATCATATGATCTCAATAATTCTAGTCAAAATAGTTATATTTTAAATGTTTTTATAAATATTTTATGTGATATAAATTTGTAATTCTGACCAGCATATAAATTTAGCCTATATTACATTTAAATAACTAAATAACAAATAATTTCAAATGATCAGGCCATTCAAATATCATTCAAAAGTCATTTCAAAGTTATCAAATGATCTAATTATTTGCTATCACTGGTATAAGTAGTAAAATTTTTTCTAATTTTTTCTATTTTATATACTTATAAGGCTTCAATAATAAAGTATAGTATAGTAGTATTAGAATTAGTATGTGTGAAAGATGGTATTAGTTTAATCTTTTTAGAAACTTCTGTTTCTGTTGAAATATTATCAGTTTTTGATATTTTGATTTTTTTTCTTTTATTATTTTAATGATATTTTTTTCATTTTAATTTTTACTGTTATTTTTAAAAGACAAAGCAGTGGATACTTTATTATTTTTTAAATTTTTAGAAACATTTTATTATAAAATTGAGGTTTTTTATATACAGACCCTGGCCAAAAGTTTTCGAACACTTTTTTACCTAATATTAAACACAAAATTTTTATGCAAAACAATAAAAAGTTTATATAAATTTATTTTAAGTTAATAAAGCTCTAAATTTTGTATTAAGCAACTAATACTTAGTCGGACCTCCTTGCACAGTAATAACAGCTTGAATTCGCTGTGGTATACTATCGACCAAGTCTTCGATAGTCTTTTTTGAAATTTTCTTTCATGCTCTTTTAACATGTCATTCAAGATCAGCAAGGTTAGATGGCTTTTTCTTTTATTCACTAATATTTTTCTTTACCTCAATCCACAGATTCTCAATTGGATTGAGATCTGGACTTTGAACCGGCCAAGGTAATACATGCAAGTCATTTTCAGCTTGAAATGCCATTGCAACCTTTGATTTGTGAGGGTAAGCATTATCTTCTTGGAACCAACCATCACCATTTAGAAATACTCACCTCATGGTTGGTTTAACATACTTGCGAAGAATTTCAACATGTGAAGCACCAGTTGCAGTTCCAGTTAATGGTACAA